AAAAACTTCAAGATTTCCTTGGAAAATATTTATCTTGAAAAATGTAAACAATGATATGAGGAAAAATGCCCTTAGGAAAAAATGTCACTAGCAAGATCCCACAAGAATCAGTACTTGCTCTGATAATGTTCTTAAATTATGTAGTATATGAATAACTTACCAGAAGGAATAAAAAACACTACATAAGCACAATTGCAGATGATACAAAAATCCTATATGAAATAAAAGAAAATGACTTAAAATTCTTACAAGAGAACATTGATAAATTTAGCAAATACAGTAGAATAACTGATAAATAATGGTTTTCAATGATAAGTACTACAGGTCCGCCATCACAAATCCGGCAATCAGTTATTCGGTTCCTTCAGTTATTCGGCACTAATTTTGGCTAGCATAACTTCAAATTTCCAGGGTCGCCACACCAACCTGCTGGTACTGTTTGGTGGTGCTACTTGCTGCATAAGTCATTCCAATTTCTTTTTCTCCATTTATTGTTTTAACCTGCTTACTTTTAGCCCTAGCCATGGTTCCAATGAATAAAAGAAATGCTTCTCATTATGTAAAGCACCTACACAGTATATTATCCATTAAAGATAAGGTGGCTTTGAAGCCACTGTCGGTTGCCATGAACTCAGTCTCATGAAGCAGGAGAATATGCTTTATTATTATGCTAATATCAACACTACAGCTTATTTGCCTATCACAATTGATCTAATATGACATAAGAAACAATATAAATAACATAAAACATGTTAAATACTCCAGAATGAATAATATTTGGCATAACACCGACAGAGTTATGAAGAGGATATGGGAAACAAATACCATTCTCCTATCCTTGTCTTGGGGGCTTATATTAGAGAAAATGGAGTATAGCACAGGGCTAACTATGATATACACTCGTACTCCACCATAAACATAAAACAAAAAAGTTATTTTCTCTCTATAGATTATCACACATAGCAGCATATGTGTAGAGAACCTAGGATAACCCCAAAAAAGTCAACGTGGCTTATTTTTAGTACCTGGCTTGGATTAGCCATATATGATTTTTGGTAAATATTCGATTCCCAGCCAGGGTAGAAACATTAGGCGTGTTTCTTTACACCTGTTGTCTATGTTTACCCATCAGTAAATGGGTACCTGGGTGTTAGTCGACTAGTGTGAGTGTTATCCTGGGACACTGACCTAATTTTCTTGAAATACTCAGCATAACTAAGTGCCTTTCTATACAGTAGTATGTCACTCGTATTGTAGATAGTGACCCTCGTATTGTAGATAGTCTTAATGACCCTTGTGTAGTAGATAGTCTTTTTAGTATGATAATAAGATGTTATCTTCATTATAGAATAATAAGAAAATATTATAACATATTATAATAATAAGGTAAAAGGACCCAATGGAAATAAGTCACTCTGTCTGACTTTTTTGGGTTATCCTAGGTTCTCTACACATATGCTGCTATGTATCATAATTCTATGTAACTGTATTTGTGTATACCTGAATAAACTTACTTACTGATGTCAGCTAGGCCTGTATACCTTGTACATGTACGTGTAGTAAATAAAGATATTATCATTATTATTATTATTATTATATTATTATTATTATTATTTTCTCAGTTGTTTGTTGGGTTATCTTATTCAAACTTGGGCAATGTATGATGGAAAGATACTTCTTCACGTACACCAAAAACGAAAGAAATCAGACCATAAATAGCGGAGTTCACTTCTCAGCCATTAGCGGCCGCTTAGCGGTATATTTTTGTATGGTTTTAATGGTTATATTCTCATTTTTTCGGTCTCATTTGATAGAATGAAAGATATATTACAGAAATAGATATTATTTTGATTGCTTTCATGATGAAAAGTACCTTGAAATTGCACTCACAGTAGAGAAAATGTTCTATTCTTTAGCGAAGCTCAAGAGTAAACAAATGACATCACCGTCCAATACCTGTCCACCTGCCAGTCCAAATTCCAGTACGGAGTCAAGAATGGATTGACATTATTTATACAATTATTACAATAATGCAGTAGTCTGCATAACAGTAAATCTTTCATTTTTTTTTGTGAATAAAAATTCCAAATGGTAAGCAAGAGTAATATAAGAGGGGCCTGTAGCTGTGACTAATGAACAGAGAAAATGTTATTTTAGTGCCAGGAATGTCTGCATTGTTTATTCTGGATCCTATTTTGAAATTGGCATCTGTTGAAATTTGTGTGAAATCGGCCAAATTGCCAATTTCTGACCACTTTATTGGGTAGTTGAAATAAGTGAATGGGCGTTTTCTTGTACTCAGTTGACAGACTAGAAGTAAATAAGTTTATTCAGGTATACACAAATACAGTTACATAGATTATCATACATAGCAGTGTATGTATAGAGAACCTAGGATAACCCAGAAAAGTCAGACAAAGTGACTTATTTCCAGTACCTGGCTTGGGCTTGCCATATATGATTTTTGGTAAATATTTTTTTTTCTCGGTTGTTTGTTGGGCTATCTAATTGAAACTTGGGCAATGTATGATGGAAAGATGCTTCTTAACGTACAACAAAAATAAAAATGACGGACGATAAATAAGGAAGTTCACTTCTCAGCCATTAGCCGCCTCTTTGCAGTATATTTTCATATGGTTTTTATGGTTGTATTGTCATTTTTTGGACTCACTTGATATAATGGAAGATATATTACAGAAATAGACATGATTTTGATTGCTTTCATGACGAAAAGTACCTTGAAATTGAGCTCAAAGTAGCGGAAATGTTCGATTTTTGCCGATGTTCAATGAACTGTGTAAGTCAAGTTGGTTAATTTTATTAAGTGTATTCTAACTTAACCACTCTGTAATTTGGCAAACTCAGTAATCCGGCACACTACAGGTCCCAATGATGCCGGATTTGTGAAGGAGGACCTGTATATGGAAATGGTAGGAAATGAAACAGCTTATAAGACAAAAAAAATACACAGTAGATTGTTTAACTAAATATAACAAACATGTCAGACAAAGAAAGGAATCCAAGAGTTATTACCAACAGAAGATTGTTACCAAAAGATCATACAAACAAAATTGTTAGAAATTCATATGATACAATGGTAAACCATAAATAACTTTATGATACATTAAGTACAGTAGACTGTTATATTACGCGGTAGTTACATTCCTGACAACTCCCTGTTAGGTAAATCCGTGTTAGATAAACTGAAGAACTTATGGGAAAAATAGGATTACGTTCCAGGGAGCAACAAAAAAGCCAAACAGTTTTTTTTTTTAGACCTCCAGATCTCACAAAAATAAAAGTGAATATGCAATTGTGGTTCATTGTCGTGATGTACACTGGAACCTTGGCTTACGAGTGCCCCACCATACAAGTTTTTTAGGATACGAGCAGTCGCTCGGTTGATTTTTTGTTTCTGGATATGAGCAAAAATTCAAGAAGCAAGCTTCCCCGTGAAGGGGAAGGTTGGGTTTAGCGTTTCCCCATTATAATGATAATAATAATAATAATTATATAATATAATAATAATAATACATATAATATGTAATACATACAATATAATAATAATACTATAACAATAATAATAATACGTACTTCTTCTTTTCTTCTTTCAACGTACCAGCCGTATCCCACCAAGGTGGGGTGGCCCAAAAGGAAAAACGAAAGCTTCTCCTTTCAAATTTAGTAATATATACAGGAGGAGGGGTTACTAACCCATTGCTCCTGGCATTTTAGTCACCTCTTACAACACGCATGGCTTACGGAGGAAGAATTCTGATCCACTTCCCCATGGAGATAAGAGGAAATAGACAAGAACAAGAACTAGAAAGAAAATAAAAGAAAACCTAGAGGGGTATGTATATATATGCTTGTACATGTATGTGCAGTGTGACCTAAGTTTAAGTAGAAGTAGCAAGACATACCTGAAATCTTGCATGTTTATGAAACAGAAAAAAGGACACCAGCAATCCTACCATCATGTAAAACAATTACAGGCTTTCGTTTTACACTCACTTGGCAGGACGGTAGTACCTCCCTGGGCGATTACTGTCTACCAACCTACTACCGTAATACGTACTATAACAACATAATAACAAGTGAGCTTCAAAAGGCCTTCACTAGATGGCAGTGAATATCACAACAACGCAGGAGAGGGAATGGCTGCCTCCACTTGTCACATAATGACATATTTTATTCATTCTAGAGCATATATCAGTTTCTATGTTATTTACATTGTTTATTATGTCATATTAGATCAATTGTGATAGATAAATGAGCCGTAGAGTTGATATTAGCATTATATTGAAAGTATTTTCTCCTGCCTCCTGAGAGAAGGAATTCTGCTGGAATGGATTAATAGCATTTCACTTAATTTAAATGAGGAAAACTGACTCAGCATACAAGCAGATCGGGATACGAGCTAAGTCAAGGAATAGATTAAACTCATAAGCCGAGGTTCCACTGTATTATGTTGTTTTTACTGCTTAAGACTACAAATGCAACAGAAATAATAGTATTTCTTACCTTAAATTATGGGTGTTGGTGTTTGTGGATGATTGTGAAGAGAGTGGAGAGTTATGTTGTGGTCCTACTGGGCTGAGGTGGATGGTAGAAGTTTTGGCACTGAAGTTGATGGTTGTACTGGAGTGTGCATAAATTTTGTAATGGATTTCTGTTCCATTTTACCCCACAGTACATTATACAACTGAAGGTAAGGCATCAGCTGCTCGAGACACCATTTCAAGGTCCTCTTCAATGAAAAAGTCTAACTGTAAGTAAGTCAATAAATCAGTCCAGTCAGTCAGTAAATCATTCTAGTCAGTCAGTCAGTAAATCAGTCAAGTCAGTCAGTCAGTCAGTAAATCAGTCAAGCCAGTCAGTCAGTCAGTAAGTCATTCCAGTCAGTCAGTCAATAAATCAGTCCAGTCAGTCAGTAAATCAGCCAAGTCAGTCAGTGAATCAGTCAGTCAGTTATTCATCACACAAACTCATATATTTACCTCATTCTTTTTTAACTGCAGTGACACTTCATTACGGCTGCAGGCTATCTTTTGTCTAATACCTCTACTTTCTTCATTAACTCTAAGACTTAAATGCTTATACCTTTTCTTGTCACTTTCAGCACCACTGGTATGCCTATTGGGTGCCATGATTGCTTGGCAGATACAAGATATGATAATTAAAAGATCAAAACACAATTCACAAACACAGCTAGCTCCTAAGACAGAATGGAAATGAACAGTATTCATGAAGGCTGGGATGGTGGTGGCAGGAGTGTTGGGGGTGGTAGGGGATGGTGGGAGGTCTCCCCCACTGACCCACAACAAGGTGGCAGCTTGAGCTGGGGAAATTTTTCCCACGCCTGCAAACGGAACTGTGTAAAGTTAATTTTATGAAGTGTATAAAATTGTGCTGCAATTTTTCAACAGTGCAACAACCAAAATGTGGCAAATAAATCCTTGTAATATAATGGTCTACTGTATATGGACAGAAAAATGCTAAAAAAAAAAACTATATAAAATGTATGTTTAGTCAAAACTGGAATCTGCAGAAGCAAAATAATAAATGTTCCAAAAAGAGTAGCAAAATGTATCACAGAGTTTTTAAAAAATAAAAAGTTATGATAATAAATTGAAAAAACTAGAAATGTCCTCAATGACTTAAAATATTAAAAAATATGGCAGGTCATAGAGGGACATGAAAGTATAGAAAAAGATGATTTATTAATACTTTCAGAAGGGAGAATGAAGAGGCCATAGTTGTAAACTGAGAAAAAGTAAGAGATGGTAGGACACTAGAAAGATTTTTTCAGAAAAGTGGAACAACAGAATTGATTACATGGGATGATAGTATGTGGTGCAACCAGTGGAAGCAAAAAATACATAATTGTTTACTGAAGACAGGACACCACAAACACAACTCTGTTCCTGTAGTTACAAATAGGTACAGTAATTGTTTGAAAAAGAAAAAAATAACATGCCTGAAGATGAAAATTAATTAGCATCTTATATTATTTGTTCTTCTCTTCCTCAGCCTCCCAGTAAAAAAAAAGTATAAATAATGTTTAGAAAAAGAAGTTTACAGTTAAATTCCAAACTTACTTCAAAATAATTTGGTTCAGGTTCAGGTTCTGCCACAGGCTCTTGCAATTTTCTTTGTTGATTGAGTCGGTATTGGTTGATTTGTTGTTGCAGCATAGACTGCTGTGGTGATAATGAAGTCCTTCCTCCACCATCACTCACCACAGATGATGGCACATCCCATGAGTCCCAACCACCAAGACCGTCGTCATTTTTCTGATTAATAACAGTCTAGATTTATGACTTCCATATAGAACTCAAGTATGCATCAAGGTTCTAGCACCTCAGTTTTAAGGAAAAAAACTGGGGAGGGGGGGTGTACAAAAATAATTAATACATTTGATAGGTTGAAATCCTTACACACTGAAGGCCTACCATATACTTTATTCCTAGTAATTCACTGCATTAAGAACGAAACACTCAGGAATTATTTTTTTCTCAATGAACCGGCTGTATCCCATCAAGGTAGGGTGACATAAAAAGAAAAACGAAAGATTCTCTATTTAAATTTAGTAATGTATACAGGAGAAGGGGTTACTAGCCCAGCATTTTAGTTGCCTCCTATGATATGCATGGCTTATGGAGGAAGAATTCTGATCTGCTTCCCCATGGAGACAAGAGGAAATAAACAAGAACTAGTAAGAAAATAGAAGAAAACCAAGAGGGGTGTGTACATATATGCTTGTACATGCATGTGTAGTGTGACCTAAGTGTAAGTAGAAGTAGCAAGATGTACCTGAAACCTTGCATGTTTATGAGACAGAAAAAGAAACACCAGCAATCCTACCATCATGTAAAACAATTACAGGTTTCTGTTTTACACTCACTTGGCAGGACAGCAGTACCTCCCTGGTTGGTTGCTGTCTACCAACCTACTACATAGGACTCAGAAATTATATTCTACCTTAAATGAATTCAATAATATTTACTAGTTTCATATGTGCTGCATTTTTCCATCAAATTATTTACAACAGAACATCAAATCACTTAAGAGTTGCTTGACTGGCCATTGTTCCCATCCTCAAGATCATCCAATACTGTACAGTATTTCATCTTTCTTTTCAGTTTATTTATATGAAATGCAAATCTTGGTTGCATAGAATAAATAAAAACAATTATTATTATAGGTAGTACAGTGGAACCTCTACTTACGAGTGTATCCACTTGCAAGCCAAAAATGAAAGAAATCGGACCATAAATAACGGAGTTCACTTCTCAGCCATTAGCCTCCCTTAGTGGTATATTTTTGTATGGTTTTTATGGCTGTATTCTCGTTTTTTTTTTTTTGTCTCATTTGATAGAATGGAAGATATACTACAGAAACAGATATTTTAATTGGTTTCACAATGAAAAGTACCTTGAAACTGAGCTCAAAGTAGCAGAAATGTTCAATTCTTTGGCAACATTCAAGAGTAAACAAATGACATCACCGTCCTATGCCTGTCCGATTGGCACTGCCCCTCAACCCTCACATATTGGAAAGCTCTTCAATACACTAGCAAAAGTGGGAGCAGATAACATGAGGTAGCAGTGGCAGATAACATGAAGCAGCAGTGGCAGACAACATGAAGCAGCAGTGGCAGACAACATAAAGCAGCAGTGGCAGACAACATGAAGCAGCAGTGGCAGACATCATGAAGCAGCAGTGGCAGACAACATGAAGCAGCAGTGGCAGACATCATGAAGCAGCAGTGGCAGACATCACGAGGTAGATAACAAAAAAAGGCACAATACCGTGACTGGAACGATACACAAATAACCCGCACATAGAAGAGAGGAGCTTACGACGACGTTTCGGTCCGACTTGGACCATTTACAAAGTCACACTAACCAGAAGTGAAGCAGGATGGCTATATATGGGCTGGCGGGCTGGCGGGCGGGCAGGCAGGCAGGCAGGCAGGCAGGCAGGCAGGAGGTGGAGGTGGTGGTGGCAGCAGTGGTGGCGGGGGCGGCAGTGGCAGCAGCAGCAGCAGCAGCAGCAGTAGTAGTAGTGGTAGTAGTAGTGGTAGTAGTAGTAGTAGTGGTAGTGGTAGTAGTAGTGGTAGTAGTGGTAGTAGTGGTAGTGGTAGTAGTGATAGTGGTAGTAGTGATAGTGGTAGTAGTGATAGTGGTAGTAATGGTAGTGGTAGTGGTAGTAGTAGTGGTAGTAGTAGTGGTGGTAGTAATAGTGGAGGTAGTAGTAGTGGTGGTAGTAGTAGTGGTGGTAGTAGCAGTGGTGGTAGTAGTAGTGGTAGTAGTAGTGGTAGTAGTAGTAGTGATAGTAGTAGTAGTGATAGTAGTAGTAGTGGTAGTAGTAGTAGTGGTAGTAGTAGTAGTGGTAGTAGTGGTGGTGGTGGTGGTAGTAGTGGTGGTAGTAGTGGGGAACTAAGGAGGAGGAGCCAGTCAAATATAAAGAAAGGGGAGCACTGCATGAGAGCTAGGTGCCCACAGAGGGAGAGTGGCCCGGTGGCCTGGTGGCTAAAGCTCCCGCTTCACACACGGATGGCCCGGGTTCGATTCCCGGCGGGTGGAAACATTTCGACACGTTTCCTTACACCTGTTGTCCTGTTCACCTAGCAGCAAATAGGTACCTGGGTGTTAGTCGACTGGTGTGGGTCGCATCCTGGGGGACAAGATTAAGGACCCCAATGGAAATAAGTTAGACAGTCCTCGATGACGCACTGACTTTCTTGGGTTATCCTGGGTGGCTAACCCTCCAGGGTTAAAAATCCGAACGAAATCTTATCTTATCTTATCTTAGCAAGTGCACAGAGTAGCAATGGCGGGCAACATGAAGCAGCAGTGGCAGACATCATGAGGTAGCAGTGGCAGACAACATGAGGTAGCAGTGGCAGACAACATGAAACAGCAGTGGCAGACAACATGAAGCAGCAGTGGCAGACATGAAGCAGCAGTGGCAGACATCATGAAGCAGCAGTGGCAGACATCATGAGGTAGCAGTGGCAGACAACATGAAACAGCAGTGGCAGACAACATGAAGCAGCAGTGGCAGACATGAAGCAGCAGTGGCAGACATCATGAAGCAGCAGTGGCAGACATCATGAGGTAGCAGTGGCAGACAACATGAAAAAGCAGTGGCAGACAACATGAAGCAGCAGTGGCAGTCAACATGAAGCAGCAGTGGCAGACATCATGAAGCAGCAGTGGCAAAGTGTAGCATTAAGTGTGTAGCAATTAAGTGTAGCACTTACAAGTCACTCTGTCTGACTCTTTTGGGTTATCCTAGGTTCTCTACACATGTAGTCAGGAGCAGGAATGGCCGCTGTGGTGGCTCTATAAATTATAGCCCAACAACAACAATGGCCACTGTCACCACCACTAGCCACATACGTAATGACATATATTTTATTCATTCTATTGTATATATCATGTTTCTATGTTATTAATATTGTTTATGCCATATTACATAAATTGTGATAGATAAATAAAATGTAGATTTGATATTAGGAAATTATTGAGGCATTTTCTTGTGCCTGGAATTTCACTGGAACGAATTAATTCCATTTCAATTAATTTAAATGAAGAAAATTGACTCTGCAAATGAGCAAATCCAGATTCAAGCAAGGTCATGGAACAGATTAAACTCGTAAGTAGAGGTTCCACTGTAGTTTGTTAGACAGCAACCACCCAGGGAGGTACTACCATCTTGCTGAGTGTAAATATAAGAACATAAGAAAGAAGGAACACTATAAGAGGCCTAATGGCCCATTCGAGGTAGGTCCAAGTCACCTCCCGTCTTAAGCCAATGACCCACCTAATCAGGTCAGGTCACATCCCTGTAAGGAAGGAGCACGGCATCAGATCTACTAGCACAAGCTGGTCAGAACCAACTCACACCCACCCACCCACACCTACTCACATATTTATCCAATCTATTTTTAAAACTACACATCTTAGCTTCTATGAGACACCTAAAATGAAGGAGTGTAGCAAATAATATTTTAGCAGAGATCACCCTAGAAGGCAGCTCAGATGAAAATTCACACACACGAGCTATTAAATCTCTGCACCAAATTCACCCTAAACCAGCAAATATTAGAGCCTACAAGATGAGAAAATATGCTGAACCTCACCCCTCACTAACAACAATGATCTGATATGTAATATAACTGTATCAAAGACAATACACTTAGATCACAACATAATAGAGGTACAGACATGTATGCACAGGACTCCTGACCAGCAAAATGTGATCAGTCATGAGGGTGTTTTCACTAAATTCAATTTCAATAACAAAAACATACAATGGGAACAAGTCAACCATGTCCTAAATGAAACAAGCTGGGAAGACATCCTAAACAACACAGATCCAAACCTTTGCCTAGAAAAAATAAACTCTGTGGTTCCTGAGATCCGCTCCTTAAGGCACATTCCATTAAGAAAAAGGAGAAGATGTAAACTAGAGAGAGATGCTCTCTATACAGATGAAGGCGAAGAGTCACAGAGCTGCTGAGAGGGTCCAATATATCTGAAATACGAAGGGAGGCACTAGTCAATGAAATTACAAATATCGAACTTAAGCTGAAGGAATCTTACAGGAGACAAGAATCGCAGGAAGATCTAAAGGCCATAAAAGAAATTAAAAATAAAATAAATAAATATTTCTTCTCTTATGCCAACTTTTTTATTATTTTTTTATTATCACACCGGCCGATTCCCACCAAGGCAGGGTGGCCCGAAAAAGAAAAACTTTCACCATCATTCACTCCATCACTGTCTTGCCAGAAGGGTGCTTTACACTACAGTTTTTAAACTGCAACATTAACACCCCTCCTTCAGAGTGCAGGCACTGTACTTCCCATCTCCAGGACTCAAGTCCGGCCTGCCGGTTTCCCTGAATCCCTTCATAAATGTTACTTTGCTCACACTCCAACAGCACGTCAAGTATTAAAAACCATTTGTCTCCATTCACTCCTATCAAACACGCTCACGCATGCCTGCTGGAAGTCCAAGCCCCTCGCACACAAAACCTCCTTTACCCCCTCCCTCCAACCCTTCCTAGGCCGACCCCTACCCCGCCTTCCTTCCACTACAGACTGATACACTCTTGAAGTCATTCTGTTTCGCTCCATTCTCTCTACATGTCCGAACCACCTCAACAACCCTTCCTCAGCCCTCTGGACAACAGTTTTGGTAATCCCGCACCTCCTCCTAACTTCCAAACTACGAATTCTCTGCATTATATTCACACCACACATTGCCCTCAGACATGACATCTCCACTGCCTCCAG